GGAGGATGTCATCATGGGTGTAGGTAGCAGAGGTTACCTGGACAAACTGAGTCTGATCCTGCGCCTGCTGCGGGCGCTGAGGATCCTGTACGTGATGCGGCTGGCTCGCCACTCTTTGGGCCTGCAGACATTAGGGCTAACCATGCAGCGCAGCATTAAGGAATTCAGCCTACTGCTGCTGTTTGTCTGTGTGGCCGTGACCCTGTTCTCACCTCTGGTTCATCTAGCAGAGAGTGAGCTGGCGCCATTTGCCGCCACGTACCCTCAACACAGCTTCAGCAGCATACCGGCTTCCTACTGGTGGGCCATCATCTCTATGACCACGGTGGGGTACGGCGACATGGTGCCACGCAGCATCCCTGGACAGATAGTCGCACTCACAAGCATCCTGAGCGGCATCCTTATCATGGCGTTTCCTGCCACCTCTATCTTCCACACCTTCTCCCGCTCATATCAGGAGCTGAAGCAGGAGTACGAGCGGCTGTGGAAAGAGGAGAGAGGCGAGGAAATAGCTGCTGAGACAGAGGAGAGTTTGTCCAAAATGGAGTTGGCACCAGATGAGTTTAAGTCTATGTTGAAGGAGGAAAATGACGGAGGGATGTTAAGTAGGAGTCACCAATCCACACTTCCAGCAACAGCTTTTTAGTTTGACCAGGAAGAGAGCAATCAGACTCTTTCATTCAGTAATTATGTGTTAGAAATGGTGACACTTGACAACCTACTCTATAAGCACATTTAGACTCTAAAGGACATGGACAGGACAAGGTTATATTGTGGGCAGTGTATTACACTTCTTGTCTGTTCCTATTCATGATTCATGCTTTAATACTTGGCGCTTCAAACAAACTATCTAGCACTTAAGTAGTAAGATTATTAAGCATTCTTTTATAGCAGCAAATACCATACATAAACACTTTACCCTAGTTTTCTGTGTATGCAAATATCGACTTTTATCTTGCGTCAACTATCGTGCACATTTTTTAAATATATATTTATATATATATATATTTGCACTTGTGCACTCATGCTGTTTAACCATACACTGACACAAGGCTTTTTCACTTAGCTTTAGCGATCAGTCATTAGAAGATGTTATACTATCCCTTTAAAAAATCATTGGAGCTTTGTACTGTTACAATCGTATTCAGGACGCTTGTTAGCTTAGCCTGCTAACCTTAGCAATAATTCCTACTTGATGTTAGTTTTCATTCACGTTATTTAAAAAAAGAAAATGAGAGGTTCTGCTACAGTAGCAATACTCATCTGGTCCAATTGTGGTGGCGGAAAATTAACAGAATGATAAAACTAACAACAATAACTCCTTTAATTGTACCAGGGTGGCATAGAAACGAATGGCTACTTCATTCAGATATTATTGCAGATTACTGCTGGTAACCTTAGTGTTAATACAATCGTGAAACAAACTGTGGTTAGCTGGCTAAAACCTTTATAGTTTCTGTCATCGCTTGTAATAAGGAAACAAGCACATTGAACTGTAAATGCTGATATGAAAGGGAATCTATTGCTTTGCTTAATTTGTTTATTAGGTAACAATTAAGCTGGCGAAAACAACATGTTAAATTGTCTTCTGCTGCACATTCCCTCATAATATAGCCTAAGGTTAATTAATAGTGCATATTTTCTGAGATTTTTTCATTCAACAGTCACTTTTTTCAAATCCAATAGAAGCAGAGATGAGAGACAGCTAAATACACTTCATCCAGCTAATAACCTCATAGCTTGCACGTTTTGTTTTTATTTTTTATTTTTATGATCACACTTTTTACCAACTCTAATTCAGGTGTTGGAAGGTCCTTAAAGGCACTATCAAGCTGTATTATTAAGGGACAATGATTTCAATACAAACAACTAATCGTGACCAAAATCTTCACTGTGATAGATAACACAGCACAAGTGTCATGTTTTTGTCAGTAGATTTTTCCGAGGATATCAATTTGCTGCCTGAAAGTAGTATTACAATTCTTAAATGCTGTGGAATATGATGGGAAGCAATGTTTAAGACTTGTATGTATTAGACGTTTAATGTAGAGATTCTTGTCTCTTGCCTCGCTGTTTGTCTATCTTCCAGACACTTTTAAAATCACAATAAACTCTTATGCTTTTTTTTAACTGCCTGAGAGTATGAATGGTGTGTTCACTCTTCATCAAAGTTATGTAAGCTGTATTTGACAAAGAAACCATACTGTAATTCCTTACCATGTAGCACCAGTTAACTTTGGAAAAATAGCTATTACCTTCTGATAAGGACCGATCATCTTTAGATCAAAATACATGATTGGAAAAAAAGTGTAACGTTAATCTTGAAGTTAGCCGGTAGTGAATAAAACAATTAGTCATCTAATTACTAACAAATAATTATTAACAGACCACTTATAAAGGGCTGGCTTATCTATAGCCAGTTGAGTAGCACTTGAAATGTTTTGGCTCTATGAAACCTGATGTACTTATATGATTCTGTTTTCTTCAAGTTTGTATCTTCTTGGTCGCACGCACTTATTGTAAGTCGCTTTCGATAAAAGCATCAGCTAAATGCAATGTAATCTGAAGGAAAATTCCATAAAATCTATCCGTCCCTCCCTATTCTCTGCTCATTATAGTGTGACTTGTAAATCAAAATGTATGTTTAAATTCAGTGTAAAACTAAGGTTTCTAAGAAGTTGGATATCTACTTTGTTTACATCCATGTTTATTAGCTTGCAGACTTCTTCTTTGTCGTTGTTGGCACATTGCTGCTTATCTTGGCATCTAACCAAAGCCTGGAATGGTGTGAAAGCGATTGGCAGGAATGTCTGTCATATCATGTACCCACTCTTAAAAATACAGCTCCAACTCAACAAAAAAAACCACCCAGAAATGTATTTTATGCATGTTAGGATAATGTAGTTTGTTTTTCAGATATCAATTCTGCTTTACAATTTAAAGAGTTAAGGGGCTGTGCAGTGATGGATGAGATATTTATATCTATTTTTTTTTGTCCTGTGAGAACCACTTCAGGGTTTCCATAAAAAATACTTTGTGATAATGCATTTTCCAGCTGATCCAAAAGGCTTTTAAAATAGTTAAATAGTATGTCAATACTTTTTCTCTGACACCAGTTATTATTCTGTACTTGCCTTCAACTGATTTGGCAATTAAATCCAACATTTAGCATTTTCGTTCCTCACAGGATTATTATTTAAATGAATGCTAAACAAAAAATGTCTTCGATTTGTGTGCACATTTTGTCCACTGATGCATTTGAAAAGGAGCAAACTCTCCTCCGCACGCTGACATCTGTTGTTAGTGTTTGGAGAGACAGATGGAGCGTTTTTGAAGAGCCTCTTTCAGTCTCCACAGAACTTCTTCAAACATTGCTGCTGGCACGATTACATCCACTCAAACTAGAAACAATGGGGACATTGAAAAGTCACCAACAGTCACTTTTTCTTATCTGCCACCGTCCTCTTCCTTCTCCTCAAACCTGCACCACATTTATTTTATTGAACACATCAATAATTATAATGCACATCATATATATTATTAAAATATTGACCAATCTGCACAATGAATACTTTTACTGTTGGTACTTTAAGTATATTTGATACAATACTTTTGTACTTTTACTTGAGTAACATTTTGATTGCAGGTATTTTCCTTGTAACAGAGTATTCCTACACCACGGTACTCCTACTTTTATTTAAGCACAAGATTTAAAGTACTTCTCCAACATATATGTAAGACAGAAATTACATTATTGATTTGCATGTGACCTATAGTATTTCCATGCTATGCTACTTAAATATTTTCCTTCACTATGAAGGAATAACTTTACTTTGCAGATTCTGATTATTAATACAAATGTAATCAGCATAGGCCTATATGATGCATTATTATGAATAAGGATAAGCATTCACTTTATCATTACCAATGCATACTTAAACTGCCATCATCAGTCAAGGTATTTGATATTTCCATATATTACAGTACTATGACCAAATATTTCATTCTCATCTTATCTGCACTTTGTTTTTGGTGCTAAACATCAAATGGTGGCACGCTAACATGCTAAACTAATTTGTGCTAAACCTCTACATTTTCATTGTGAGCATGTTAGCTTGCTAACGTTAGCATTTAGCTCAAACCTCCCCTCTGTAAAGCCCATCAAAGCTAATTAATACAGCTAAAAGACCAACACATGTATTGCTGAAAGTTTTAAAAAATCGATACTGGTGTGCACATTTATAATTTACATCAAATATTGTTAGAGAAACAACTATTTGATATTATCATTGTAAGATTGTTTTTAAAGGAATCTTTTTTTAAATGACAGAAATCAGCTGTCTAAATACTGTTGTTTTTCTGCCTCAACAGGTTTTCTTCTGGAGCTCAACACAGAAGTTGACTTACATTCAACATTTACATAATTATGGAAATTCCCAAACATTTGCACACATTTATTTGCATGGCAACCAAAACACAGAGCCTGATTCCCAGTTGTGGATGAAAATGTGATCAGACTTTTTACTGAATTAAAAAGAGGCAATATCACAGTGTAGAGATACACAAGTAAAGCTTTGCATGATTCAATACCTTAGTTTATATTATTGGATTAAAACAAGTGATGTGTTAATGTGTTCATCACTTTAATGAGCAGCGGGTAAAGGTGGAGCGCACTTGAGTTAACAAAAATACTCCTGGGAAGTTTAATCGATAATGCATAGTCATATATTTGTTGATTATTTTTTTTATCAATAATCCAAATCTAGGTATTAAATGTATGTAGTAGTGTTACTTAACAGTGATGTAAAGTAACTCCACAGCATATGTTAAATAACTTTCAACACAGAAGCTGCAGTGTTTGTTCCCCCCTTTGAAACTATATACAGTATATAGCTATGTTGCATGAATATAAAACAGCTTTAGTGAGCAGAGTGAAGGTTACTCTGTGTCTCGCTTTAAACCAATGGCCTCCAAAATAAAGACAGCATAACATCATAACATTAAATACAAAAATAATATTTTATTCTAAAAGGGACAGTTAATGTGTAGCAAAATACATTTACAATGTTTTCCAAATATTAATTTAGGACAAGTCATACACACAAATGAGAACTCATAAATCTTAATATTAATTCAGTAACATGCAGTAGTAGTTGATATTGTCTTATCTTAAAAGACACTCTGGCTCACAATGTGAGTTTTATTCTTCTATTCACATGGTTTGAGATTGAAACCATGTTTGGATGGTGACTCCTCGAAAAGTGCCAATTGTTTCTTTGCGAATTGCAGGTTAGGATCAATACAAAACTTCTTCAGACATGTTGTGATTCTGTAAGAAAACAATTGCATATTGTTAGAAACACAAGAAAACAAAGTGTCATTAATGCAAAGCAGCCTAAAACCTGCATCAGTATAATAGGGTATTGTTTGTTTTTAACAGAACTAAATCATCTCAAAAGGCTCATAATGTTGAGTTGTGAATGTTAAACTACCTTTAATAACAATCACTAGAATTATTATTATTTTTGCATTACTTATGCATAAATGTGTAAGATCCATTTCACGTAATTCTTTCACGTTGTGTAATTTAATCTGTAAAATGTCAATCATATTTTGTTAACTACATATCACATACATGCACATCTACTGTATTTTAAACCTGAATCAAATCTCAACCAAAGTAAGTAACTAAGTAATCATAGCTTTAAAAAGCAAAATATTTCCCCAAATTGTAGTAAGGTTTCAAAATAAAGTAGCAGAAAAAAGTATAAAGATCAGTAGAAATGATACTATTTTTAAGTAAAAGACATTGACAGTTTACATGCTGGTTAACTAAACAGCTCTCTCTGGTGGAGGTCTTTGGTTCTAATAAAAGAACACAGGGGTTTGCCTGTGATCTTTTATTCAATGCTTTATTTTCAAACTATTTACTTGACAGTTTATTGCTTTTGTTCCTTGATAAGCAGCTGGCACTGTATGTCCTGTCACCACTGTTGTGTTTTTAAATTTGTGAATAATGCAGAGTGTTGAACATGCATTCAGTAAGCCTTAAGACTAGAAACATAGATTCAAGATTATAGTATGAAAATGTATTCCATTTACCATTAACAAGTAATCATTCATTAATAAAATAATTATTTAAGGTGTGTAATTGCTACAATATGAGGTACTGTTACTCTACTTTGCTTTTATTATTAGTTTCCTTAATTATTACTTTATATTTCACCCAAAACATTTTTTAATAATGTAATATTTATACCTTGTATTATTGCTGCATTTACGTAAACTAAGAAACACACGGGGTGTATTAGATTAACATGCACACTTGTATAAACTTACACAATTGCTTGGGATTCACAGCCACTCGGGGTCTTCGCCACGTGTGTCACCCTTTTTCTGGGAATTTTTGTTGTATTGAAGCCATTACAACATCCATCCTGTGGTGCTGATGGTCCGACCGGAGCTGTGAACAAAAACAAACACACACTTAATACCAAACACAGTTTACATTGACAGCTCACAGAGAAATCCAGCAAAGATACTGACCGGCAGTGCAGTGACGCAGGACG